TTGAGGCTCGCCGCACGGACCGCCGCCGCGGTCACCATGGCCGCTTGCCCCGCCGACAGGGCGTTGCCGCTGCCGCTCCGCATAACCCCGAGGCCGCCTGAGGAAGCGGCGGCGGCGTCTTCGTCGTCGCCGCCATCGCTGTCGAAACCGTGCCTGCTGTTGAACAGAAAGCTGTTGTTGCGGCCGTAGCTGCGGCTGCGCCCCCCCCCCGCCGGCGTCCCGCCGAACATTGTCAAGCGCGGCGGCGGGCCCAAGCTGCCGCCGCCGCGGCCACTGCGCGACCGGCTCTCGTCGCCGCTCACCCAGCCGTCGTTGCCGTCGCGGTGCGACGGTTGGACGAGGACGGAAACGCGAGGCGCGGCCACGGACCGGCCGAGTGCTCCCGCGCCAAGGGATTGGTGGAGGTTGCTCATCTGGCGGGCGTGGTCGAGCTGTTGCCAAAAAAACAACAGCAAAATCGTGCAAACGACGGCGTTGCGCTTAGTACGCGCGATCGCGGTGTAGTGGTAGTACAACCCAAACCGCTGTCGGCTAAGTGACAAAAAAAAAGGCGAGTCTGGTACTTGTATGTGTGCGTGTGTAGCGGCAGCAGCGGTGCATACTAGAGATGGAGAGGGGAGGGAAGAGAGTCGGAGGTGCACGCGCGGGTGGAGGGGCCTCGCTCACTCAACGGCTTCGCCTTGGCAGCAGTCCCGAGGACTCCGACCACGCATCCCATACTTGCGAGGAAGCGCCATTCCCCCATTCCAACTCCCTCAACAGCAGGGCCAACTCCCATGACAACGCGTCCTTATTAAGACGAAGCATCATTCGCCATCCCCAAACAGCACAGTCAGCCCCCACGCAAGGACTGGCCGGTCATGTTGGCAATACACTCCCAGGGCACACCGTCACACAACATGCCAGTAGGCTCCCGGGACCGCAAGATTAGGTCCTCGCGTTTCTGCAGGCGCTGACGTGTGGTCCTAAGTCAAGCGAGCTGTCGACGCCCACAGACTTGCATCGCACAATCCACTACTTTACTGTACGGTGTCGCGAGAGGCCCCCGGGGAGGGGGGGGGTGTATTTTATGCCCAATAATCCGCAATGACGATGAAGCAATGGGCTGTAACAACACATGTGAGTGACGTCACCGAAGCGGCGGAACCACTCGCGAACCCGAACACTCGCATTCCTCAAATAGCTCGCGCGGAGGAAAAGAGGAAGAGAGCAGCCGCCACGTAGCACGTTGCTCGCTCTGTGCCCAATGGCAAAACTAGCCCAGACAAGAGCAAAATGAAAACGAAAACCGAGGAGATGGGGAGGGACCAAGACTTGGGGCCACCACTACTGACTGGGCCCCCCTTTCTTCTTCCCCTCACGTTGAAGCGGATGAGGTCCCCCCCCTGCTTGTTGATAAGCTCCTCCGCCTCTTTGACCGCCTGCTGCTGGTCCTCGGCTACGTGGCTGTCCCTCCTCTTCACCAGCTGCCTCCAGCTCGACGCCCTGTGCATCCCGTCGTCCTTGTTCGTCTGCCGCGGCGGGTATAGGGGTTTCCGAGAGAAAAGCAAAAAATGAGGTTTCGCCCCCATGTTGCTGTGGTCACGTTTGAGGCAAGAGAGAGGACAACTCAATTTGGACAAGCGTAGTTTTTTCTGGCTAGTGGTTTACTCGAACGTTTGTCAGCGGCTGCCCCGATGTAGAAAAAGAGGTCCAGGGCTTTTAATCCTTGCCGTCTGAGGTTTCCAAGAGAAGGAAAAAAAAAGAAAACGAAACGAGTTCCCCCCCCCGTCTTGCTGTGGTGACATTTGAGGCAGGATTGTGGAGAATTTCAATTTTGACAAGAGTGATCCAGGCTGTGATCCGCTCGCACACTCGTCAGCGGCTGCCCCGGCTGAAAAAAAACGAGGTCGAGGCTTTAGTCCTTCTCGTCTGGCGGGTGGGGTGTCCAGAGAGAAGCAATCAAATCAAATATCGCGTCTACAGCCGCACTCAAGAAATTTGTACTTTTTTGCTCCCGGCGGGTTATCTTATTGACTCCGTGGGGCAACACAACATCCAACATACTACTATTATAGTGGTATAGTCTTAGGGTACTGCAGGATCCTTGACCTGACGTAAGCACCTCCTCTTCCCATGGTCGAATTCTTACTTATTGGTGTCCTTTTTCGGCTTACTCTGGAAACAGTGACGCGTTTCCGCCTCCGTGTTTGCTGTGGAAGTGAGTTTTTGAGGCAGGAGAGAGAGGGTAACCTTGACAAGCTCAATCGATCCCGTTCGTGATGTTCCCGTTAACACCTGTCAGGGGCTACTTGCTATACACCACGCCACGCCAAAAAAGAGGGGTTAGATACACAACCGACAAATAGAGCCGTTGACAGGTCTATCGAGCAACAAGCGGCGGCGGCGGTAGAGCGGCCGTCCCATCTACCTCACCGTGTGTGCCCTGGCCCGGTCGCCGCCGCCGGTGAGGAAACTGCGTCGCCCGCCCCCACCCCCCCCATCGCTGCCGATGGACCCCGTGCTCCCGTGTCGGGAAGACCGGAACCAGCCGGAGTCGAGAGTCGGGCGCTGGGTACTCTTCCCTTGCTGCTGAGCGGGAGGGGGGGGGGGAACGGCAACGAAGAAGCCAACGCCCACGCCGACGACAACGACAACGACAGCGACAACGGCAACGACAACGACAATGGAAAAAAAAACGTCAGACGAAAATGCTGGGTTCGAGAGTCGGGCTACTCCTCCCTTGCTGTTGGGCGGGATGGGGGACAACAACAACGACATCGACATCGACATCGACATCGACATCGACAACGGAAAACAAACAAAGGTTAGAGGGCAACGCGAAGGGGTAGCAGGGCATGCCCGTCCCGTCGCAAAGGCCGGACCCAGAAACTCCGATGACTACACAATTTGGATGAGGATGCCTCAGGTTCTCGGACTGAATCATCACGCTCGGCAGCCAACTGATGTGCTCAATAATGAGGAGAGCCCCCGATCACACGATTATAACGACCCCATTTTTGGCCATGCCACAACTAATTTTCACGAAGACCACACAGTCGACACAAAGGGAGGGGGGGGAAACAAAGAGCACTGTTTTTAGCTCTCGCAGCATCTGGGAGCAGGCGAGTGATCTGAAGAGTTGCACAGCAGAAAGAAGGGACTCCCTACCCAGAGAAGCACGCAAAGCCCAGAACACCACTCGCGTGTAACCAGCCACGACAACTGATGACCGCCTTCGGGAGATCAACAAGTTTATGAGGAAATAGAACAGGGAGGGGGAACGCAGACCTATTCCCGAACCCTAAAACCCTAGCCCACCTTCCCCGATTGAATGGTTGATCTAACATGCGAGGGCTACTGACGGCTGAACGTGTAAAAACGTGAACAGGAGGCTTAGAACGTACCTCCTCCGCCACCGGCGACAACGCAGCGGAAGGCCGCACGCCGCCGCCGCCGCTGCCGCCGCCACCACTACTACCACTACCCCCCTGCTCCTCGTCGCAGGAGTCATCCCCTCCACCAACAACAACATCAACACCACCGCTGCCGCCTTCGACGGAACCACTCCGTCGACGCCGCTGAGCGCCTCCACCGCCGCTGGCTCTGCTCCGTCGGTGCTGCTGCGTGCGCCCCTTGCCACCTCGCGGGCGTTCCGCAGTCCTCTCCGCGGCTTCTCCACCCCCACCCCCTTCGCCCGGCGGCGGGGCCGCGCGCCAGCTTCCGACGCCGCCCTCGCCGAGCTGCGAAGAATTCAAGCATCATCGCGTCACAACACACAACCGACCACCGCGCGCGTGTCAACACAGGGGAAAGGACACACGTCATCAGGGGGTCGGGTGGGTGTACTCGTGTAAACCCACGCCCGCAGTCGACAGGCCATTGACCTCGCGTCACAACGCCGGGACGGAGCGATCGAATGCCGGGTTTTCGCCGGACCAGGCTACGTTTCATACGGACGAGCCAGAAGCTGGTAGTGCCATCATCCTTGCGTTTGCCTGGGGCGGAGTGAAATGGTGGGGCTCATTTTTTCCCCCCCGCAAGCTGCTGTGCGATCGATAATAGCTGCTGTGTTGACCGTCAGCGACAATGCTGCAACGAGACCATCCCGCCACTGGACGTTTTGTTCTTGCGTGAGGTGGCGGGGTATTCCCCTTCGGTCGGGAAAAGGACGCGATTGACAATCACAACAACAACAACAACAATAACAATAACGACGACAACAACAACCTCAACAACAAGGACAACAACAACAACGACAATAACGAACAAGACGGAAATACCTGCTGCCTTTCCTGGAGCTTTTGCAGAGGGTGGGACTGGGGGGGGGGGTAATCCCCTCCCCCCCTCTCCACCCAGTTAACGCGAGGGTTGCCTTTTTTTTTTTCCGGGCCGTTGCAACACTTCGTTCCCCGCCGCAACCATGCCCGCAACCGAACAACACCAACAGCCAACAATTAATACAAGGGGGGGGGGGGGGGGGGGGTCCGCAAGGTGCACGCGCGAAACCACAACTCCGTGAGTAAAAAAAATCACAACCGTTTCATCTTGTTTACGTGCGTGATGTTCACATATTCATACGTGGGGATGGGGTCGGTGTGTGCAATGTGGGGGGGGGGGGGTAGGATGGTGTCTCCTCGTTTCGTCGGCGCAATTCGATCCAAGAAAGACAAGAAAACGAACGCTCGCATGCGGTCTGTAAACCTTTTACACCAGCAAGGCTATTTACCTTCTTGTGGCCACCCATCATTGAGAGTCACAACACCAACAGGACCCGGCCCCCCAGATGAGAACTATCCACAACCACCGAAGCGCCAACGGCAAGGTGGATGATTTCAACCACTAGCACTGCCGTACTGCTCGTGTTACTTTCTCTTTTCTCTTACCCTCTGGCAAGCTGGTCGACGAAGTACATGGCCATGTTCTCGAGGCTGGCCCCCATGTTCCGGAGCTCTTTTCGCCTGAAACGCTCAATGTTCTGCAGGGAAAAAAAGAAGAAAAAAAAAAAAAACACACACACACACAGCGGGAAAAACACAGCAAGCGGTGACGAGACTCATCACCATCATCAAAAACAACGACATCACAACTGGCCACAGATAACATCGAAAACACCAACGCAAAAAAAACACCTCGGGAGGGTAAAGTCAGCTGTACTAGTGGTACCACACGATCCTCCCTCGTGTAGTTCCCCCCCACCCGCTACACAGCGAACAAAACCTTCCCCCCGTGTGTCGTGTCGGCAGCTTGTAATTTCGCCGTTCGCGGAGACAGCGCCACCATCCAAGAGCCTCTGAGAGATGCCTCCTCAGATCACTCTGATCAAAAACCAAGGTCACAAGCGCGGTGGCCCTAAGTGCGCCCCCTCCCCCCTCCCCCCTCCCCCCCCCCCGTTCTTCATCAGCACTCCCCCGTCATCCCCCTCAGTCAAACCTCTTCCTCACAAACAGCGTGCTGCAACACATTTCTCTTCTCCCTCAGCGGCTTCTAGATACGTTCATACGAGAAGCACCTGGCTCCATTAATTATTGAGCTTTCCGAGTCCCTTCACCCCTGCCCGTCTCCTCAAACACCGTTGCGGTGTTGTCTATTCTGCGATCCCCCCGCAATTTCTTCCCGTCTCGACCCTGCATATTTCTCTCAACACATACGAACGCATAATACACCAGAATTTTGACAAACAAGAGGCAGACAGACAGAGACAGACATACAGACAAACAGACAGACGGACGGAGCCTCGTCCTGTGCTTCCTTTGAACAATGAGCGAGCGAATCCCACCCTCCTTGGCGGCCTCCAGCTTGGCCTCCTGCTTGGGCCTGAGCTTCTGGTTGATCTCGGCGAGGCGAAGGCCGTAGTACCGAACGGCGTCCTCCTTAGGCCCGAACCAGGACGGCCTCACTTGGGGAGACAACTTCAGAACCTTGTTCGTGTTGGTGTTGGTGTTGTTGTGTGAAAAGAAGGAAGGAACGCGGAGCGAGAACAACAGAAATTTGAAGAGAAACGGTGATGGGGGGG